GACGCTCTTCCGTGCGCTCTGAATCTCGTTTTTCCGAGTCGAGTTTTCTCTCAGCGAGCGAGTTGGTGAACGTGCAAAAGGAAGAAAAAGGAAAGAGAGACAGGGACGGAGATATATATACGGGTATAGGGTATCAAGGAGAATGGAAGAAACTGAAAATATACGTAGACACGTAGAAAATGTTGCAGAGAAAAACACAGAGATCCAAGTGACATAGACGATTTCGAGGTAGGAATAAAGGTGGAGAGAATCCTCTCGTTGTGTTTTATTTTTTAGATACGCAAAGAAATGCTATTAGATGGCTGGAGACGGCTGCGTAACTTGGATAATTTCTTGGATGATATATTTAATACAACAAATTATCCGTTTTGGTACTTCTGAGGAGCATACGTTATAACTGATTTTATTTTTATTGCGCCATTTATAATCAATATTGCTTATAAAAGTGCAATATGCAATATACTATCAGAGAATGTAAATAATAGATTTATCATAGATCGTATAAATCAAAACCATATCACAATTTCATAATTAATATGTCATAACATCAGATTTGATGTTGAAATACTCTTACTATACTATACTATATATATCAAATGGATTATTATAAAGTTCATATTTTTTGAAAACTAATTCAAATTGAGCTACATTGTTTACTATGAAATATCTATCTTCTGACATTTATATATCCGAATAAAGTGAATATAAAGAAATTCGCCTCTGTTGGCTTTTGATCTTCTTGCAGACTCCTGTGGATTTATAAATTTGAAAGGGTCAAACAAGAGAAAAGTAACTTCACATTCAAACAGGCTGTCAAGTAAATTATCTCATATCCTTTCATCTTTAGGTATAACCCGACTATTCATATCTGTACCTTAAAACATAAACAGATTTTGTACTGTTCTTGCTATGGAAGGCGAATCAAAGGCGACTTAAGAGGAAAGCAAGTGATAGAGATTCGGGGAGGATCTTCCTGCTAAGGATTTGCCGCACGTAGTGACATCGTCGTCGTGTGCAGAGTCTGAGATGAAGTTCCAGGCACGGCTCTCTCTTTCTTTGACTCTCTCTCTCTCTCTCTCTCGCTCTTTCATTCGCTCTCTTCTCCATCTTCCTGTCACTCACAGCGCTAAGAAAGAGAGAAGCGAAGACGGAGTTGTAGAGAGACTACGGGGAAAGGAATGCTGATTAGTCGGTGCTTCTGCGCCATAACGCTATAACTTATCCAAGTGTAAGCGCGCGAGAGAGAGAGAGAGAGAGAGAGAGAGAGAGAAAGATGGCGAAAGAAAGATGGCGAAGCAAAGGGAAGGGGGGAGGCAGACGACGACCGAATGGAAAAGACGAGGGCAAGAGCTAGGGGATAAGGAAGATTATGTGTACCGAGAAAGTGAGAGGGAGTTGACTCCCTGCTATCTGTCCTTATCAATTCCACTTCGTGTTCCTTAGTGAACATAGTTGCTGGTACTGCTCCTGTTGGAAGGATAAGGAGAGAGGAAAGGATGGAGCAATAGGATAGGAGAACGGATGGAGGATGAGAAAGAGAGCGGAAGACGATGCGGTGGGCTGAGGAAAGCCGGCGGCTTAATAGGGAGGAAATTGAGTGCTCGAGCAATATTGAAGGAGGATTCGGGATTCGCAAACGAGGGGATGAGGATCTCTAGTAAGCCTCTCTCTCTTTCTCTCTCTTGTTCTCTCTGTTTTACCAGCGCCGTTAGAGGGATAAGAGAGATAGAAAGCATCCGTCCACGTCCGCTTTCGAATTCCTCGAGCGTGCACATCAGTTTCCTACTACCACGGACTCAACGCGATCAGCGGTTCTCAATTGCGCCAAGTGCCTTAACTATATTTCACCCTTCCCATTCCCTCGTGAGTAACTCGTAATACACGTGGGAAGAGCAGCCACAGTCAATACACAAGGTACCCTTGTATATGCACATGTATATTGCAGAGAGCTATGGGTGCAGCTGTATAACTAGGAAAGCGCCCGAGATCCTCCTTGTTTTGGCTAGTCTAGACAACACGAGAGTTGGGCGGAGTTGCCAGAGCGGTTGGGGGCACATCAGATGGGAATTATTGACTTTGAGGGCATCGTTCTGTATATTGCGTGACGTGATTCGCCAATTGGCGTGAGCTTCAAGAGGTGTCAACACATACGCAAGGGATTGACGCTGATTTAATGGCATACTGATCTGTTCTCTGTAAAAATCGTACACCACCAGATATTTGCACCAATGGTGCTTGATTAAGGTTGTAAAATTTTGCTGGCGAGTGTGCTTTTGCTCGTTGAGTAAGGAAATTACATCACTGATACGCTTAAAAACATTTTACAATTATAAAACTTTTGATTTTCAAATACTAAAATATTGTACAAGCCTAGGTAATCCTTATACAGCTAACATGAACTATTAGATTTATTTACGAAAAACTCCTATTTTAATAAGCGATTGTATTATCGTGTAGTCATTGTCAAATAGAATGGACATTAGATATGTCATAAAATTCCAATAATGTTACTAATAAATATCAAAATAACTTTTAAATGACGTACATAATATAAAGTAAATTAATAGAATACTTGTTTTGCTAATTGGTATCGCTTTTAATAATCGCCAATATCTATTAAAATTGTACTATTTATCACGATTGAAAACAATTGAACCATTTATGAGATAAGAACCGATTTGTCAAATAATTACTTCTAGTTTGACGCAAATATAGAATTAAAAATGTGCATATTTAATTATTAAACTTTAATAGCTTAATTATAAATAATAATATTAATATTAATGATGATGATGATGATAATAATAATAATAATAATAATAATAATAATAACAATAAAGCGCTGCTTAAAGTTTTGGCAATTGATTTATTTTAGGTATTTATAGTACATTTTCATATTATTATCCATTTTTGATTAATTTATCTGCACAGTCTATGAAATGCGTCTTCTAAACCTTAAAGAAAGAAATAAAATAATTTTTCGTTGATTAAAAGTTTCAAATTTATCGAGTATAATAATCAAATAATTTTCAATGCTATTAAAACCATAAACCTTACATTATATTTAGTTTGATTTGGTAAAATCTTCTATTCTCAAAATTTCCTTATATAATTAATACCAAGCAACGAGAAAAAAATGTTATTATATCCTTATCTAGTTTTATAATTCAATGATATCATATTTTATATATTTTGTCATAAAAAGCAGCGTAGCCAATATTTTATTTGATATAATTATTTATCGTCATAATCTGGTATGAGTGCCCTTAAAATTTGTTAATAGTGATCAATACTCACTCCTATAATTGCATTGAGCTCGGTCATGGTGACTTGCTTTGCTCTGTCGACTGCAGTGGCCACTTGCTGTTGATGTTCCTGGGAGAGAAACGGCAAGATTTGCGCGATAATGGCGTTCAGCCTCTTTGCTATTTCCGTCTGCAATCAGAGAAACGACAAATTAATTCCTCACTACTACTTCATCACAATTTTGCTTCAGTGAAATTTGATATATATGTTTGTTAGTGTGTGTGCGCGCGCGCGTGTGTGACTACGAACGTGTCATACATGCGGAACTATATTCGCAGTTCCATGGAGTCATAAAGTTAAGTGTAAAATTAAAAATAGATTAATTTGTTTGAAAATACAGAAATTGCGATATGTAATCGGTGCAAGTTTAATACGTAAATAATTGCATTGCGTTAATTTAAAACCTCTGAATAATAAAATTAAAATTATGTTTACTTATAAAGGGAAAAATCATTATTTGAGTTGTTTTTCTACGCGACATAGTTAAATCCAAATATAAGGACAATAGAGTGAGGGATGGAAGAAGAGAGATGTGACAATGTCCGTATAGAAAGGATAAGGAACAGAGACAAAGAATGAGGAAGCTGCGGGATAAAAGAGAGACTATATGTACCGAGAAAGTGATAGGAAAAATACTACTGAGTCACCATTGTATATTAAATGATGCTAATGTAAATTATTCTTTCATAACTGAAATTATTTTAATTAATTTTAGTACTTTTAAAAATTTATGTAGAAAATCTGTCAGATACCAAATCCTTTAATTACCAATATTAAAATGATTTTCTTGAAAATAATATCCGATGATGTTACATTTTTTACATTAATGGATATAATTAATGTAACGGATGAGAATTATCAGGTATCATGGCTCACATATCAGGTATCAGGTAAAATATTTTAAAATATTCAGCATGATGGATTTCGATTTATCAAACCGTACAAAACAGTGTCTAGGCCCGTGAAAAAAAGTAAATAGATGTGAGAAACGGTAGAGCAATTCATGTTAAACACGCTTTACTCGTACAAGTATAAAAGATCTTCTCTGGAGAGATTATTTCACATGCCATTCACCTTCTGCTACTTCAAAAGCTTAGTTTTCATCGAATAAAAAAAAAATAAAAAAACAGACAAAAAATCTTGAACGAATCAAAGTATAGAAAAAGCCCCGCAGTCACCATACCAAGATGCATCGACGGGAGTATCAAACATATAGAAATGAGATACACATCAAGAAATGGAGAGCAGGCCGAAGTGGAAGAGGGACACGCAAGGATATCAAGAGGGCTTACGATGCTTCAGAGGTGCTGGTCAGTATGAGAACTGACGGGAATTAAATTAAATCCGAGCGCACTCACTTGTCTATGATCTAATCTATAAGCATGCGATGGATTATAGGCGCACGCCCAACGCGTGTGTAAGGTTGCCCGGAAATTGAGTTTGATTGACCTAGTGACAATGGACGTCGGCTGCGATGGCAAATATTTCTTCAGTTCTTGCCAATTATCAAAATAAAAAAATTCTAGAAAAAAAATTCACCTACTTTTCGCGGACAATGTTAGCCAAGTAAAATGGCAAATTGTTCGCTGCAACTTGCCCTTTCCAAAATAACAGGAAAGCGGGGCGGGGGAGGGGGGTCAATTGCCAATGAAAAGAGGCGATGTGAAAAAGAATGAATACTTGATAAAGGAGATGTGTATAAACAAAGAGAAGGCTTACTTTGGAGGACAGTTCGTAGTTCGAAATCATCCATTTGCAAATGATACAAAAAAAGTGACAAACTACGACATTAGCAGATAAATACATGGATTATGTCATTTCTGGACACGGACCGTCAGATAAAATAGAATAAAAATAGACGTTTTATGCAATTAATTTATTCTTGATAAAAGTCGAAATAGCGAATTTTTAAATGACACCTCCTACACTTTACGCGTACGATTTTAAATTTAATCTGGCCGACGAGGTAACTTGTATCAATTACTTTATTTCAATATAATTATCAAATAAAAATATCGAATGGTTCGTAGATTAAATATCTAATGACAGGGACAAATGATTTTCGAACGCTATAAGTAGTTTATCATTTATAAATCGGAAATCCCTAAATTAATCAACGCGTATTAAAGGATATCAATCAAGATTAAAAAAACTCAAGTAGCATATTTCTATCAAGATTGATATGTTGTAAAATGGTAGGGGAAATAAATAGACGTAAAAGACATTAAAATAGATTCGTCGTGGCATACATTCTTGAAGAATAGATATCGTTATAGACCGAATGAGCATCGCCAAGAAAGAAAATACGAAGTAGATGAAGAAGAAGACGAAGAAGAAAAAGAAGAAATAGAAGAAGAAAAAATGGAATATACGCATACACGTAAAAAGAGGACAGAATTTGCAAGTCATGCATCCCTAGGTCTCTCGCAAATTCGTTATATCCGCACTTGATAATTTAGTTAGCCTTGCTTTTGTCTCATCTCGCCTCCTTGTGGCTCTGGCATTATCGTCTTGATATCGGCACGGTCCTTCGGCCGATAAATCCGATAAGTAGAATTAATCGCACGCTTTAACAGGAAGCAGTTTAACGCCTCGTGTTTCTCGTTGGCGCGAGCCTGTGCGGCTATCCGGCGATGTTAATCTATTCGGCGCGCCGCACTCCCCCTCCAACCACTGCGTCTAAATGCATTAATATGGTGGTGTTTTTGTGTGTGCGCGCGCGCGTATATCAGACTTATGCACGCATTGATTTACGTTCATTACGATCGCGTGAACGAGTACCCGAGCGAGCGAGAAATGAGAGTGTAGCGCGAGGTGTAAATAGGCACATGTACGTACACGCGTCCGCCGATGGGTGCACGATGCCTTTTACTACCGCGCCTTTCACTCCCGGCTATACCGTCCCAGTCAAAAGTGACTGCTTTTCAATTACTTACTTTAAAGCTGCACGACAACGGGGGCAAGCCGTGGATTAAGCTCTTATCTAAATTCAATATTAATAACATGTCTGCTCTACTACAACTATATGGCGCGCGTTAAAGCATTAGTTGGGACAAAAAGCCCTATTCGATTTAAGATTTATGAGGGATTTCGGATTCGAGACTAGTTAGTCAGTTGATTAAATGATATTTATGTCTTACTAATGATTATCTGTATAGTTTCAGAGTATACCAATTAGAAAATGGAATACATTTTGCAAACATGCCGTATTAACTTGCCGTATTTAACGTATCGCTCTAGGCCAAGCATTAAATTTCAGTACCAATTCATTTATAGATAGAATTAATTGTATGCATAAAAAGAAGAGAGACAGACAGAGAGAAAGAGAGAGAGAGAGAGAGAAGATTATAAATTTCATGGAAATCGGCGCAGTGATTTTGAGATCATATTTATTACAAATTTTAAAAATCTAATTTTAAGAAAAACGCGTTTGAAGTTTCGGATCTTGCTAAAATCACTTTGTGGAACGTATACTTTGAGTCGGTATAACTCCGTCGATTTTAATCCGATTAACTTGAAACACTCGGGATATGTTTTTAAAAAGATAACTTTAAGAAAATGCGAATAGTTAAAAATCCGTTTTGTAAAAATTAAGTTCCGACAAGATTCTGAAGTAACATTGAGCTTATTTTTAGTTAAAGTTCAACAAATTATTGCAGACTCAGAGTGGCATTTAATTTAGTTGTAAATTGCATTATGTAAGTACGTAATTTCTACTGAAATTATTTAAAGGTAATATTTTTCGACTCTTGTTGACAAACAAATTGAGAAGCAAATAAATTATGTTCGAAACCAAGTTGCTAGCTTCAAAGACATAATTACTAATTTAGTAAAATTTCATTTAAATAAATATATATATATATATATATAAGTACACCGGATACGTACATTATAAGATTGTACAATTAGATAACATTTCAGGTATTCGTAATAAAAGCGAAGGGGGAGGGGAGAAACCAAATTGTTAGCTTCAATGACATAATTACCAATTTATTAATATTTCATTGAAATATATAATAAAATTTATTATAAATATAGGCTCATAGGATACATACATTATAAGATTGTGCAATTAGATAATATTTATGGCATTAGTAATAAAAGTGAAGGGGGGAGGGGGGTATACACTATTATTAAAAATTATGTCTCGATAACACAAAACTCTTATCTTGATGTATGCTATAATAATTTTCTAGTAAATAGTTTCGTTATGCATGCGCGGATTATATATTCTAGGCGATCGATTTTAGAAAAATACGCCAAAGCTTGCACGTATCTATACAATCATTGGCATATTTATATGTCAATGTTGCAAGCGCTAAAATACTTTCGTATCACTTGCTTTACACTCACTAACACACTAAAACAACCATATAAAAGTGAGTCGGAGAAAGACGTAAGCGTTCTTTTTTAATCCATTAGCGTTTTAATCAATTGAGAACAATGTATGCGTCGTAAAAAAAATAAGTCGTATATAATAGCACATAAGGTGATTTTCTTTTTACATACAATGTTTTTAGTTTATCGACATTGGATATTACAAATCATACTACACCAAGTGAAAAATTGTTAAAATGGATATCGACGATTAGAGTACAATCTTTTATGCATTTGTTCACGTTTAACATTTTTATTGAATTACACCTACCAAGAACGACCTCGATATACTATCAGCTCCTACCTTGTAAACATTTTTTGTTTTTCTCACAAGGAGCAACAATTACAAGCTTGGTATCGAGTGCAAAAGCAATACATCTGCCCTCGACGGAGAAACAAAAAAATTACCTTACCATTCAACGTAGAGAACAAGAATATAAAAGAAAAAATGGAGATACTCAAGCGTCGATATATCAAGAAATGCAGCATAAAAATTGAATGCTCTTAGGAAAGGAAGAGGAATAGAAGAAAGCGGAAACGATGGAGGCTACCACGCCGGCGGCAGCAAGCAGCAGTAGTAGCATCTTGGCATATAAATTCCACAGGATGAAATATCCTGGCTTTATTTCTATATGCTTTTTATTCGATCGTGCTCTCTACTGGTTACCCCGCTAAAGCAGCACCACGATAAAAGAACGAGTAAGAGAAAAAGCGAAGTAGAAGAACATAAACACCGAGTCTCTGGCGTCGCA